ACAGAATCAGAATCTTGTGTTCTAACAAGAGCCCAGGCTATTCATCATTACGTGAAATTGTGACTTGCACTATTCTAGAACAAAAGTTCAGGGAGAGGGGATGAGGACATGGGAGCTGAAAAGGCAGAGGTCAAGGGCTTACTACCCATCCCTTTACTGGCCTTAAGAGCCTGGCCTTCCTCCTCACACATGGGAAAAAGGAAAAGAGGAAGAAACATCAGGGGAACTAGGCAACTATTAAGCCAAAAGCAGAACTGGGCAGTGTTTTCTGCCCCCGGCAGTGCCAGCCAGAGGCACAGTGACCTGGCTGGGAGGGGAGCGGACTGATGGCAGGGCCTGAGGCAGCCTCCAGAGAAAGCAGGCGAGGAGGCACTCACCACAGGAAAATGGACATCACAGCTAACCCCAGGTTTAATACTTACTCCGCTGAGGGCTAACCTTTTTATAATTTTAAATTTTTTAAAAGATTTTATTTATTTCTTTGTGAGAGAGAGTGAGTGAGAGAGAGAACACAGGCAGGGGGAGGGGCAGGGGGAGAGGGAGAAGCAGACTCCCCACTGAGCAGGGAGCCCGACGTGGGGCTCGATCCCAGGACCCCGGGATCATGACCTGAGCCGAAGGCAGACGCTTAACCAACTGAACCACCCAGGCGCCCCTCATTTTTTCTTTAGAAAAAGAGAGCATGCCAAGCTAGTCTGGGCAGCTTCGTAATAGGCTTTACTTTACAGGAAGGAAGGAGGGAGGGAAGAGAAGAAGTGAGAGCAGCCTTTTTGAACAAATGGGCTTTTCCCAAAATGTGTGCAGATTTCAGGCTTAGGAGACTGGGCTTCCTGGGTTACCTGTCAGCAGCGGCACCGGGGCACCTGGCGTTCAAGGACTCTCGCTGAATACAGGTCCTCCTGGTCCAGCCCAACGAACACCACCACTCCAAAAGGTCAGGCTGCGAAGAACAAGCCACTCTCTGTGGCTTTGTTCATCCTGCCTGTTAGGGTCTCATCCCATCCCCAGTTCCCAACTTTTAAGCCCTAGTCCCTCACGGCTACACCTGGAAACCATGGAAGCCCCAAGTGCCCCTTCCAGGGCTCCAGCTAACTCTTTTCATAATTGCTCACATGGAAGGTAATGCTCAACCTCCCAATGAGTCCTGCCCCTAGGGATTTGCTGGGGTGCCTCTAGGAGCCCCTTTGGCTTTCTGAGAGGTCATTCGTGGGCTGCTTACATCCTTGAAGGCCTGAGAGTGGGCTTGGAGCTCTGCCAAAATTAACATGGTAACCAAACAGGCAATATTCTTAACAGAGGAGGATTGGAACGTGTAGTTTGCTCCTAATATACAGATTTCAACAGCCCTAAAGATAAAAGTATTCTGAGATTCTAAATACTTGCATGTTTATTTAGCACTTAGGACAAGCCAGGATTCTCAACTTACTATGAACTCAGCACACACCTGAGAAGCTCTAAACCACCTGGCCACAGAGTTGACATTTCTCTCTACTCCACCTGAAAAGAGGAAGGGGAAAAATATCCATGTTGCCCAAATCAAAGAAACCCACACCTAAACTGAGTAAGTATTTAAGTGTTAAAAGGGAAAACACTCTTCAAGGTAAGCTGGTGCTGACTTCCCAACGTGACACTTTGTCACTGCTGGGAGAGGGAATCACAGGATTTTATTGGGAAGCATCAAACCCAAATCAATTCAGGGCAAGTTCCAGAGGCCAGAGAAGGGATCAGAGCAAGGTCCCACACAGAAGCTCAGCCACGCTGTTGCTGACCCACAGAACAGAGACAAGGAGGGAATCTGGGCTCCAGATATGGCTCCACCCAGGCCAACCAGAAGGCACAGGCCCGCGCAGCCAGTCCATAAAGACGTACCTCGGGCCAAGGGCACAGGACGAGAAGACACCAGAGTGGTTACTGTACAATAAAGAATCTGCCTGGTCTTTGTCCCCAGGTCCTGGGACATAACTGTAGCTCCTCAGAATTTCTCAGCAACAGGAATGTTCCTGTTTTTCAGGGTGTACCCCCTCGGATCACACCTGAGTTTTTACTCAAAGACCCAGGATGGGGGTGGCATGAGCCCACCTTCTGCAAGGAGGAGAGAGAAGGGCAGGCTGGAGACTGAGTTCAATCATGTGATCAATGATTCCATCAATCATGTCTGTGCAAGGAAATCCCGATAAAAACCCTGAACACTAAAGCTCAGTGAACACACTGATACGCCGAGAGGGTGATGTGTCCTGATGCCACAGGAGAGGACATGGAAGCTTTGCATTCAGGATACTCCTAGACCTTGCCTCACGTGCCTCTTCATTTGGCTGGTCCTGATCAAACTGTAATCCTAAGTACATTGCTTTCCTGAGTTCTGAGTCCATTCTAGCAAATTACTGAGTCTGGGGGTGTGGGAATGCCCACATTTGAAGCCAGTTGGTCAGAAGTGCGTGTGTCCTGGTGATCCCCCCCCCAAACCTGCAGCTTGTGTCTGAAGTGAGAACCGTCTTATGGGAACTACGCCCTGAAGCCTGTGGACTCGGCACTAACTCTGGAATGGTCAGTGTCAGAACTGCATGCAGGCCACAGCGGTCCAGCTACACCCTGCCCTGGGCCCCAGCCAGTATGCTGGACTCCCCTGCCTCCACGGAAAACCCAATCCCTTCTGAAATCAGGGTTTTTGAGACTCAATTTGGGCACGTTTGAAAGGCCAAAGAGCGAGTGTGATCTAGATCTACAACACTGGGGAATAAAAAATAAAGCATGGACCCCCACTTAACAGCTGTGTGACTTCAGGAAAGTTACTAACCCTCTCTGAGCTTTGATTCCTATCTCTATGGAGATGACCCTTCCCTCTCATGACCCTTCCCCCTCACAGAGCTGATGGAACAATTCAATGATGTAACTTTTTTACAAAGAGCCCAGCATGGTTTCTCCCCGAAAAAGGCACTCAAAAATCATCAGCTAGGGCACCTGGGTGGCTCAGTTGGTTAAGCGACTGCCTTCGGCTCAGGTCATGATCCTGGAGTCCCAGGATCGAGTCCCGCATCGGGCTCCCTGCTCAGCAGGGAGTCTGCTTCTCCCTCTGACCCTCTTCCCTCTCGTGCTCTCTGTGTCTCATTCTCTCTCTCTCAAATAAATAAATAAAATCTTTAAAAAAAAAAAATCATCAGCTAACTTCCTTCCTACTTTTATGTTGCCCTATACCCCCAAACTCTCCCAGATTCTTTACTCTCCCTGGTTAACTGTCATGGGTGCTGGGCCCACAGGCAACATGCTGATGTTTTAGATCCCAGGACAGCAGGCAGCCAACCATTAAACTAAAAGTGAGGGCGCCTGGGTGGCTCAGTTGGTTAAGCGACTGCCTTCGGCTCAGGTCATGATCCTGGAGTCCCGGGATCGAGTCCCACATCGGGCTCCCTGCTCAGCGGGGAGTCTGCTTCTCCCTCTGACCCTCTTCCCTCTCGTGCTCTCTATCTCTCATTCTCTCTCTCTCAAATAAAAAAAAAAAAAACTAAAAGTGAAAAGCAAGTAACCATTACCTTGAACAAAAAGGACATTTATATTTACTTCAGTGGCTTTAAAAGACACCACAAAATATAATATGCAGCATGCATCCTCATGATTAATAACAGATCTTGCAAATTATTCTCTCAGGTCTCTGGGTGCATCCAACTGGTCACTAAGAACAATTAATTCTTTCAGGAAATAGAGGGATTGCAAATAATCTCTGGTCAGTGGAAAATCTGCTTGTTGTATTAAGAATAAAGAGAAGAGGAGACTCAAATTTAGTAGTTTCCTGCCCCTGTGAATGGGGTGAAGTAAGATCAGAGAGACTCAAATACAATGACCGTCCGTGAGCACAGGTGCTCAGTAATAGGAGGACCTGCCAAATGGACCTGGAGTTACAGCAGTTCAGGGAGGTCCCAGAAACAGGAGCGGATGACTGAGTGGGGGCGGGGCAACTCTGGCAGGTGGGCAAGAGGTGGAAACATGGAGTCCAGACAGGTGACAGGGAGATTTCAGAGTGGAACCCTAGCCACTGTGGCTGAGGCTTACCCTACAGTCTCCAGGACGGGCATCAAATGACGAACCAAAGGGCTAAGTCAGGAAGCGATGAGTAGAACGAAGCAGGTGCCTGCTCACAGGGAATGTGGTGAGAACCCAGGGAAACCCAAGTCAGAGGCTTCAACAGAGCCTCTGAGCTCCTGACCATAGTTTCAGAGTCTTGGAAAGGAAGAAACACCTACAAGGGGCAGGAAGTGGTCACACAGGGAAAGGCTGGAAGGATGACAGGGGCAAGATGACAAGTAGAACACAGTGGCCCACGGCATCCAGGTCCACTCTTACCTAACGGCCAGTGTGGATTCACTCCCAATCTAGAATAAAAATCCCACAAACAAAGCCCTTCCCTGCGACCCTGAAGCGGTTTTTATTGAAACACCAAAGGGGTCACCAGGACAGCCACAAACTCATACCTTGGATGCCAAGTCACCTTGCTCAGGTGCAACACCTCTGGGAATGACAGGGCAAGGATAGGGAATCCCTTCCAAGCAACTCAGAAACTGTGCTCTCTTCCAAAAAAATCCAACTTCCCACAAGTTAAATGTAGAAATTCATGTAGGAAGTCAGTGGATTCGTGGTCCATCCTGACAGTAGGAATGGTTACTGGAAGTAGGGGGACATGCAGCTCAATGGCGCCCACCAAGGGACATCCAGCCCAGTGGTGCCCACCAGGAGTGGGAAACAGACTGTTTATGCTGTCTCCCTGGATAAGGAGAGCAACCTCTCGTGTAGCACAGCTTGTATAGCCTATGAGACAAGGCCTACAGTGTAGGAGAGGGATTCTGGAGGTGGAGTGTAATGGTGCCATGGACAATGACTGTGGAGCTCCAGGTTACCATGTGAGAGAAACAGGGCACCTGGCTGGGGACATGACAAAAGAATGAGGAGTGAAAAGTCCACTTGCCCACCACAGAGTCACCCTGGAAAAGGAAAGGGGACAGCAAGTCCGCTCAGTACAAAGTGGGCAACAGCCGGCAAAGCAGGGCCACGACCCAGCTGGCCAATCTCAACTCCTTCACACGCAGAATGAGTTCATGAAGGTTGATCTGCCATAAGTTGAAGGCCTCTCTGAAAGAGATCTGGGTCCTTCTGAAGAACGAGCAGGTGTTCTTCTTCTTGTGCCTGCAGGAGGGACAAGAAGGAAGGAGAGAACCAGAGATAAATGGGCAAGAAGCACTCATTATCACTTAGAACAATGGAAGGTCGTGGCTTAGCCTACTCACCAGACCCCCGCCCCGGTGGATGACTCCTGGTTACATGATCATAACACTGCCCACCCAGGGACCAGAAGAACTCAAATACTCTACAGGAACTTTCCAGATAAGTGGGGTAAACAAAAGCAGTTGTTTCATTGGGCATTAAAGGCCTAGTGGACCCACTAGGTAGAACATTCCCATGTTTCCCTTTTTCCACATGTTTAGTAAATACATGCCAATCCTGAACCTCCAAAACTCAAATATAAAAGCTTTCCCAAACTTTCTGAGGCCAAATCACCTGGACACTAGGTCAGGTGGTCCTGAGAGGCTGAGCCCATTATGGAGTCAGCCCACAGCTCAATCCCTTCTGCACTAACAAAAGGACAGGATGGAAATTGGTGTTTATGGTAATGACCCATTCAAGACTTGGTTTCCAGAATGCTCAAAGGAAGAATAAATCATGTTCAGCCCTAACTGTGTGCAGTCTATTTTGCTATAATCTAATTCTAATCTAATCTAATATTTGATCATGGGTGCATGATATACGTGGCCAACGCTCCCTTCACCACTTTGCCAGAATGACCCACTCCCTGCATAGGATGGATGGGAGTTGACCCCAGTCTTGGGCTCCCCTCTCAGATGAGAAAATTCAGCCAGAGTATGGCTCTTCCCATGTATCTGCACACTCAGGAAGAAGGGCCTAGAACCCTCACTTCTCTAGCAATATCTCCCTGAGGAAGCACCTTCCCTCCCTTCACCAACACTCCAAGGGTACTGAGGCATCTGAAAAGATCTGAGATCCCCAGTGAGCCTGCTGGCAACACTCCCGAGTCATGGCCACACCTGCAGGGAAAGAACACTGGCTTTGCTGCCTAGCCAATGCTGGGGAGACAGGTCCTGGGACCAGTTAGAGATGGGATGCACATCAGGGTGTCCTGATTCCAAGTCCAGGGGATACTTGGATGGGACTGAGACTCTCAGAAAACATTTCAAAATTTACTGAGGGTAAGAATCACCCGGAAAGCTTAACTAGGAGGGTGATGTCCTAGAACCCACCAATTTGACAAAGTACAGGTGGCTCTCTGGACCACTCAAACATACCGCCCGGAACCGGGGAATTCGCTGGAGTCATTTCCTGCCCCGAACTCTTCCTCCAAGGAGAGCTGGAGACTGGGGAGCTCAGACAGGGCCCTGGGGACTGGTGGGAGAAAGTGGAGGCCAACAGTACACCCCCCACCCCCCGCCCTGGGGCAGGCCAGAGAGCTGGGAGGGGAGGAGAGGCCGGAGCCTGCACTCACGCAGCCAGCGCTCTGATGCAGCAACGTGACATGCTGAGGAAGGAGCTGGCCCTGGCACGGGTGCCCAGGGCGACCTCAATGCCACGGAGCAGGTCATTGGTCTTGAAGATGAGCAGCATCTGGCGAGGCACATGGTTGAGGAGCTGGCTGATCTGGGGGAGGTAGCTGGCTGCATTGTCGCGGATCTCTGCATCCTGAAGCAGCAACAGGGAGAGAGACGTGGGGAGTTGGTCTGGAGAGTGGGGCCCAGGGTGGTAGGTGTCAGGGCAGCTGGTGGCTGAGGGGCTGCAAGGAAGCTCCAGGAGGGAGCTCCTAGCATGACTGCCTCAGCACCACTAGGAACCTCCCCAGGGGGAAGCTCAGCACAAGGGGCTTCATAGTACGACAGACGTGGATGAGACATCTCACCCCAACTTCTGGCCAAGCACTGGACGCAGTACAAGAACACATTATCAGGGGCCTCTGCCATCCCTGGCTCCCCACAGGTCACCAATACCCATCCTTCAAGCCTACAAGCCCATACTGACTGGGGCAGGAAGTCTGCTTCCTCACCAATCCCTAGATGAGGCTGGACTTAGCCAGCCTCTCAGCCCAGGGGTTCACCTGTGTGTTACTCCCCAAAGCTTTTTCCCACTTGCCACCAATTTCAGGCCAGGCTTAGAAGGAGCCCTGGAAGCTGGTACCTTCTGTGTCATGTCCCCCATCCCTTCAGCCAAGCTCAGGCTGGTGCAGTTCATAGACCTGAGCTCCTGGCCCCAACCCAACTCTAAAGTCCTGCTCTATATCCTGCCTGACTCTGCAGCCCACCAGACCTACCCAAAGCCCCTACTGCCCACACAGCCACTGCCCATCACTGTCCTCCATGCTGAGCCAGTCTCAGCCAGCCCAGTGCTGGAGGTCCCAAAGCCCAAAGAGCAGGAGCCAGGGCTAGCCCTTACCCCACCCTGGTGTCTGAGTGTGAAGTCTGGCCTCCCACCCTTCCCTGTCCCTGAACTCCGCATGGCTCTGGGCAAACAACAGCCCCCAGCCAGAGCCCTGAGCACGACAGTACACCTCTGACCTCTTCTCAGTCCCCAGAGAAAATGCTTGCAGGCATTAACTCATTTGATCCTCATGGCAACCCTTTCAGGCAAGTGTATCACCCCCATCTGAGAGGAGGAAACCGAGGCACTGAGAAGTTAGGCACCCCGCACAGGGGCCACAGCTGATAAGTGGTGAGTCGGGATTTGAACCCCTACAGTCCAGCTCCCGAGCCCATGCCCTCACCACCAGGCTCTACTGCCTCTCACCTCCCAGCAGGACTGTGACCCTGGGTAAGTCCTTTCATCTCTTCTAACCCAGTGTCCTCACCTAAAAACTGGAAATGCTCATACCCTCCATGCCCACATCCCAGCTGGACCAAAAGGGTCAGCAGAGATAAGGAGTGGGGAGACGCTTGGTGCTAATCAAAGTCACAAGGAGGGGCCCGGCTGTGCTGCCAAAGCCTTCCCCACATGGCCACCTTCTGTGCACAAGCAGGACTCTCAGCCCTTTCCGGAACATGTGTGTGCTGCTGATAACTGAGTCGCTGTGAAACTCAAAATGTCCCTCAGGCAGGAGCTATCAGACTGGAACATCTCAAAACAAAGCCAGACACTGAGGCTGGCTGTCTCCTCGCTGCCTCCCCCCACAGCCGTGGGTCATCCTGCCTGAGGGCTAAGGCCAGATCAAGGTCTTGCTCACCACAGGGATTCCCCCTCAGCAAAGTTCAAACTGGCCTGGAGACAGTCCCTCTTGGCTCCTCTCAAGCAAAGAGAGGCACCTGCACACACCCTGACTCGCTCTGGGGATATCTCTTCAAGCTTGGACTATCCTGCTGGTGGCTATCTACAGCAGACCCCGCTGGGTGCCTACCCAACAGCCATTCCCCATTCTCCTTTGTCAAAAGAGCCGCATTTTTTTCACTTGACCCCTTGGGGCTGTGCTCTTCAGGGAGGCAGAGCCCCTCCCTAGCCCCAGGGGGGATCTTGATTGATCTCAGCCATTGTCGGCTCTGAGCACGAGGCCTCTGCCAAGTGATTGGCTCAGGCATGGACATGAGACACAATTCTGGCCAATGAGACCAAGGGGGATCTGTCGGGGGACTTCTGGGAAAGGTTTTCCTGTTTTTAAGAAACAATATATGAGAAGAAAAGGCCCCTAATTCCCACCTCTGGACATCAGGGCTTTTTGTCCAAAGTGAGCAACTAGAGTCCATGTCTCCAGAACCAACTTGAATATCCCTCTATTAGATGTAGTCCCAGGACCTTATAAAAAGATGTACAAGACAGTATCCCTGCCTTCCAGGTACTCACCAACTAGTTGGAGAATTCATACAAGTACGCAAAAGGCTACTCTTCGAGACAGTTTACGGTGCATGCACATGAGTGAGACAAGTGTTAAGGGGCCACTTTTGGCAAAGGTGATGAGGAGAGGCTTCCTGGCTGGCCTATGGACCAAAGTGTGTCCCTCTCAAATCACTATGTTGCAGGCCTAACCCCAGTGTGCCTCTAAAGGGGTAATCAAAGTTAAGTGACTTCATAAAGGTGGGGCCCTAACCCAACAGGACTAATGTCCTTAGGAGGAGAGGAAGAGACACCAGGAGTGTGTCCACACAGAAGAAAGGCCATGTGAGGACACAGCAAGAAGGCAGCCGTCTGCAAGTCAGGGAGAGAGGCTGCACCAGCAACCAACCTGCCGATAACTTGATCTTGGACTTCCAGCCTCCAGAACCGTGAGAAAATAGATTTCTGTTGTACAAGCCACCTCGTCGGTGGTATTCTATCACAGCAACCCTGGCAGACTAAGACAGCAGCATTTATGCTGGGTCTTTATAAGTGAATAAGAACGCAAAATAAAATTCTAACTCAGTTAATGAAAACACATATCATATACGAAGTACCTACTGTGCACCATATGATCTTGTGCATCCCTGAGGCTTTAAATACCACGTACATGCTGAAAACTTCCAAATTTATATCTTTTGCTTGCTGAGCTCCAAGCTTGACTGCCCACGATGCCTCTATGTGAATGCTCTAACTTCTGCCTCCCGACCCCCAACTAGGTCCTTCCCAAAGTCTTCCCTATGTCAGGAAGTAGCTCCCCCTACCCTATAACTTACCCCCAAAAACTGTGTTGCAACTTTGACTCCTCCCTCTGCCTCCTCTCCACACCCAAGTCGACAGAAAGGCCTCTCACCTTGGCTCTTCTGCTTCCCTCCACCTCCACTGCCTTTAGCGTGGTCTGTGCCCCCATCACCTCCCAGCCTCCTGACCAACTGCCCCATTGCTCATCTTGTTCCCTCCAGATACTTAAAATAACAACTCTGAGCACATTCTTCTCCTGATTGAAACCTGTCAAAGGCTTTGCTTTGTACTGAGAACTAATCCAAACTTCTTCCCATGGCTTATGAGGCCCCGTGTGAAGCTCCCTCTGCCCAGCACCCCAAATTCTTCTCATTCCAGCACCCACCTCGCCACACTCCAGACCGTGCCAACACTTCCTCTCCCTGCCCTGGCGCATCGCGTGCCCTCACCTGGAATGCTCTCTCCAAGCTCTGCCTTCCTTGTCCTCCAGAATGCTCAGCCTATCTCTGAGCACCCAATCTACAGCACCCCCATTACTCACCCTGCCTGTTGCCTCCAGTGTCTGCAACCTGCAAGTATTCCATTTACCTGTTTGCTCACTTGTCTACTGTCTGTCTCCCTCAACCACAGAGCAGATCACATGGAAGGCCCGTCTGTTCATCATTGGATCCCCAGCACCGAGTCTCAGTTCCAGCAAAAACGAATGTTTGTTTGATGAACAAGTTTCAGGAACCATGGGGAGGCACTTTCCACACATTATCAATAAAACAGAAATTATCATCCCTATTTTACGAAGAAGGGAGATGGTCTCTCTTTAAAGCCATGCAAGCCTGGGGCTGCTCGTGGTCATCACTGCCACCAAGCTTGCTGGGGAATGAGGTCAATTTGCAGGAAAGCAGAGCCAAGAGATGGCGAGAGGTGGCCTTTTTGGTGACATCGTTTAAGATTCCATCCAGCCGTTCCTAAAGCCCCCATTATAAGGCAGCTTCCAGGGGAGGACCATGGGGCTCTGAGAGGGGAGGAGAACCACCCAAGGTCTGTCTGGTTGCACAAGTGGGACCTGTCCCTTGTGGTTAGCAGGGACCTCGGCAGAGTCCAAGCGGTCCCCACGTGGCTATGGGCAAGTCTGCACGGGTCTGGCCAACTGACAGACTGGGAAGACAGAAGCCAATTCCATGAGAGAATGAGGAGTCTGGGAAGGAGGTGGCTAGGAGTACAGGGAGGAGGGGCTGCTAGGACCAGTCTCAGCCCAGGCTCCATGGGATTCTCGTCTAGATCCAATGGAGAAATGAACAACAAAGAGAGACCCAAAAAAGCTGTTTTAACAGCCACACACTCGTGGAGGACAATGGGACCTGTGTGTGCTCAGACCTGCCTCAGTGCTGCATGAGGAATTGAGGTGCCCCCCCCCCGTAGGGAGGCATATAGGAAGCTTATGAGGGGCACAAGTGGAACCAGACTTACTGATGAGACAGTCCCTGGGGATTCCCGAAAATCCTGGAGGAGAACTGGGTGGAAGTCTGAAATCTTGCATGAGTGGGTTGGAGCAAAAGGCACAGCAGTGTGGATTACACAGTTACTGTGAGCAGGTTGATGAGGCCAGGAGGGACATAGTGAGACACTGTTCCCTCTCCCTCCTTGCCTCCAGGGATGCTTCTCCCCCAGGAGATCTCCAATGCTGCCCATGGCCCCACAGCCACAGCCCACTAGCCCAGAACCCCAGACCCTGGGCTGGAAGGGGTCCAAAGGCCACCCGTGGCCCCACCCGCCACATTCAGGAGAAGGCAAGGCCAGGAGGGGACCACCTACCTCTGTGGCAGTGACCGGAGCTTGGCCAATGCCCCTGTTGACCGAGTCCCAAGACCGGGCAGTAAGCATGCAGGCAAACAAGGGGTAGAGCTCCCCGGCTCCCAGGCGCTGGCTGTACTTCTTCACCTTCTCCATGTCAGTCCAGATCAGCGACTGCCAGAGGTGGCAGTAATCCAGGCGGAATTCGTCTGTGAGCACCTGAGGTGGGGGACCATGTGGCAGGACCTGAGCCTCCTTTCCCCACGGAAGACCTAGCCCCTGGCTGGTGGACACTGCGAAGGGGGACTGATGAAGACTGGAGCTCCTGTGCATCATCCGCTTCTCCCCCAAAGTTCAGCCATCCCCAAGGGTCCAACGTGAAAGCTACCATCTGGCAAGCCTTGGTCCCGAGTGGCCGAGGTCACTAATTGCCCATCAAAATCACATTCCCCGCCTCCCTCCTAGTTAGATGCAGCCCTCTGCCTGAGCTCCGACCGATGCAATGTGGCAGAAGTTCCATGTTCAGCTCCTGAAAACCTTCCCATGCATGCTCCTCCAAGCCCTCACCCCCGCTGCTGGAAGATGAGGATACCACCACCAGGGAAGCCTGGGGGGGCAGAGCCTCGGTCAGCCCCTGCCTTCAGACGCCTCCACCTACCCGGGACAGGTATGTGGAGGACCAATTAGACATCTGTTGTGTCTGGGCCATCATGCGTGTGGGGTTGTGTGACAGCAGCTAGCCTACCTTAAACTAATGTACCCAATGTCACTGAGCCTTTCAAAGGAGGCCAAGATTTTGGGAGGCGAGATCAGGACTCTGAGAGGAGGAACAGGAGACCATTGGGGAAACCTCTCCAGAACCCTCTGCCATGGACTCAAGATAGACCCTGGATTCTGGCATTGGCAGTGAACTTTGCAACTTCCAAGCAGAAGCTCATGGCTCATCCGAACCAGATGAGTCTCAAGTTCCAGAGGACAGAGGCTGGGCCCATCCATCCCCTATCAGCTTCGGGTCCCCTTTCCCACTGCATATTACCTCCTCCCTGGGGCTGAGTGACCCCCTTCCCCTGAAGTCCCAGCTCATCGAGGGGCAGCTTACTTCACAGTGGGCTGACCTGGGCTTCCCGGGGAAGTACAGTGTTCACAGCTGACAAAGCACCAGCACGGACCCAGGCACATCCCTGTCTACTCCCCATAGCAGCCCATGAATGAGGTGTTACCGACCTCATTTGACTGGAGAGAACTTGTATGATGGGACTTGCACAAAATGACGGCTCTAGGGGCAGGGCAGGGCAGGGCCTCTCCATCCACCCTGGCTATCTGCTTCCCATGTGTGAGGCCGATCGGGGAGTGGAGCGAGCTCTGATCCCAGGCAGACCCAGAGCCCCTAGGCTGGCTGGGTGGGAACGGCCTCCCCTACCTGGTAGAGGCCGTGGTCCAGCAGGACGATCTCCGCCTTCCCTGTGTCCGGGCGCTTCCGCACCAGCACGTTGCCGGGGTGCGGGTCACAGTGCACGAAGCCATTGACAAAAATCATCTCGCTGTACATCTTGCCCAGGTGGCGCGAGATCTGAAAGAGAAGGGATGTGGGTGGGAATTATGCCGCCTTAACACCTGTGTTGGAGACTTCGACTCTGGGCCCTGAATCCGGTCACTTTCAAGAGGCAGGCCAGAGGCACCAGGTGGGCCTGGGCAGTCATGGCAGGAGTGATGGCCTGTGATCATACAGTTCTTGAGTTTAAGACAGAAGTTCAGTTCTAACCCTGTTCTTCTCAACTTCAGCTGCATGTAGAATCACCTAGAACTCAGAAGTGTTGGAGGTGGGCCCCGGACATCAGCATCTGTCATCAAGTTCCCAAGGTGATCGTAATACACAGCAAGGTAGAACCACTGCTTCTAGCATTTCCGAAGGCTGTAAATACCACCCCAACCCCCGACCTCCACTCTTTCCCGATCCTTCTCTTCCCTATTCTCTTCTCAATCTCTTCATTTTCTCCCCAAAGCTGAAGATGGGCTGGAAAGCCAGGGTGGGAGTGGGATCATCCCAAATTCCCCTTCTCCCAAGAGAAAAGCTGGATGGCTATGGGTGAGGGATACGTGACCCTGGCACCCCCTAGGGCTGTCCCACCAGCTCCAAGACAGTCCCAGGAGGACCCAGAGTCACAAGCCCTGCTCCCCTCTCCCTCGCACCTCCCTTCGCAACTCCCCACCAGAGCCCAGCGTTAATCTGATTTATGAGGTCTGCACAGAAGAAATGACACTGGAGAGGCCATTTAAATCATCCTGTCACTGCTGCCCTCCCTGTCGAGGCGGTCTTCTTATCTCTACTCCCTTTTCATTAAAGCTAAAAGCCTCTCCCCAGCTAGGGAACAGCTGCTGAACAGTGCCAGACCTGGGCCCACAGATGGTCTGCCAATGGGTTTCCAGAGGACAAAGAGATACTCAACTCACAAAGCTGATCCCCAGGACCCACTCTGCCCTTGACACTGCTCTCAGTCCCTGATGGACCCCATGGTCACTAGCAAACATATCCCAGCCAGAGGAGAGGAGCTGGGGCTCATGGATGGTAGGGGAACAGAGGAGTAGGGTCTTTGCTTGGCCTACAAAGCCCCGCACAACCAGGACCAGCCTCCCTCCCTCATCTCATCTCATGCCACAGTGATGCTAAAGCCACCTCTGCTCTCTTTCTCTTCTCCAATGGCCCTGTGCTTTCCTACCTCAGGGCCTTTGCACATGATCATCCCTCTGCCAAGAGCCTTCCTCCCATCTCCACTTCACCTAGTTTACCCCTCTCTTCCTTCCCATCCCAGGTCAGCATCACCTCTCTGGAGAAGCCTTCCTTGACCTCCTGGCCTAGATGAGGTTCTCCTGCCACAAACTCTCATCGAACTCTGTACTTTTCTTTCATGGTAATAGGACATTATTTGTATCATTATTTGTTAATGACCATGTAGCCCACTATTTTAAGCTCCCAAGATGGCAGAGACTGGTTCTGTTTTGTTAAATGGCTTTACTGAGGTATAATTTACATACCATCAACTGGCTCTATGACATATCCACTTAACTATAACAGGCCAAACGTGAATATAGGACTCTACCTTCAACATGAATGAGACCCTTGTCTGTGTTTTTTTGAGATGCTGTGGTTCCTGTCTTGATGCTTATCCTAACCCCATGAATCTCTTCTGAATCCCAATCAATTAAAATTGGTCCCAAAATAAATCTTCAAGAATAACCTTACTATAGCAATAGCTGACATCCTTATGTCAGCTTTAAAAGTAGGTACAATTACGATCCCCATTTTGCAGATAAGGAGCTGTGATTCTTCAAGGTTCAACTTACACAGAGCCACAGGACTACCCAGAGGTAGAGCCAGGATTCAAGCTAGGTATGACCCCACCACCTCCTAGCAGCCACACTACCTACAGGCTCACACCAACCTCTGCACTTGCCAAGTGAACTGTGTGACCTTAACAAGTTGCTTCTCTCAGCTTCAGTAAAGAGGTTGTCTGAGTCCTGACACATATCCGATGTTGCACTGGGTGAAATGAATGCCCAGTACTCTGTGGGCACTTGGAGGACCTCGCCCCAGGTCAAGTTCTCAGCCTCGGACTGAGATGTCAGCAGCCCCAGGGCCACCATTTTCTGTTTCCTCGGAGAGGGGCCCAGCTAGAGTTGATCCTGGCTGAGCCAGCAAGTCCCCTTCTGAGAAGCCCTTTTGTTAGGCTCTTCGGAGCTCCATGGAGCCATGCTCCGAAAGGCTGCATTTGCCAAACCAATTGCATTTATTAAGTAATAATTCATTTTTATTTGTCAAGGACGCATATAAGGTCCAATCAGGGCTCCTGATCAGCCCAAGATAAGCAGTACAGCCAGACTGAGTTGACAGAATGCCAGCCAACAACAGAGAAATGACATTTCATTTAGTCTGGGCAGACCTGTCATAAGGAGATGTATGATCTCCTCTGAGCTTTCTGAAATATTGCTAATCGCTCTGGGCCCCCTATTACTACATTGAAAGATGACCCCTAAGGGTCTGGGGACTCAGGATGGGGGAGCCCTTGCCCACGAGCAGTGAGCTGCTGCTAGAGGAGGAAGAGGGGCTGCCAACTGTAGCTCATATATACACAAGCAAAGCCATCAAGTGGCCCTCCCCATTTCAACACCCCATCCAGCTGCTCCTACTTGGGTGTCTTACAATTTGGGAGCTGTTCCTGATGTTCACTTTAACCAGATTTCACCAACATAGATAGATATGGAAGGCACAGACAAGACAGAAAACCAGCCTAGGCCACCAGCTTCACTCTGGTGCCATCTTGGTATGGCCACCTAGGACATGCCTGATCTGGGGGACAAGTTACCTCCCTTCTCAGTCTGGGTCTAAGTTCCCTTAGCTGTTAAGTGGAATTAATTCCATCTGCTCTACTTCCTCACAAGGTAACCTCAACATTCAAGGTCAAAATGTGACCACATCTGAGAAAGCACTTTATATACTATATGCTATATATTATATACTATACTATATACTATATACTACAAATTGCTTATATTACTATATAAGACACAAATGTGTTTGTTGTAATGTGGTAGCTTATTATTTAAAACTTGGGGGAAAAATGTACCCATTATCACTTTCATCAAAGTATAATTTTCAAAAAGTTAAAAACATAACTCATAAAAATACAGAATGAACACATGTCAAAGATTGTTTAATTTACCAATAAAGGAGCAAATAAGAAGGGAGAGCTGGTTCAGAGAATTTTGAGGGACTGTTTATTTATGGGAATTTAAACAGTAATAAGAGACTAAGATTCCTGGATTAGATATAAAACTGGTTATTGTCCTACAGAGCAATAAGGAAATCATAACCTTTGAGGTTATCTTTTCTACTGGGCAGAAATTATTTGCATCTCTACCAGATAAGATCTACAGGTTGACGTATGACTTCAGTCTGAGCCCTTAATTAATTGTCAGTAGCAGAGTCAAACACAAGTACATTCCCCTAGATATTAAAAAGCCCTCGGTGCACTGCCTGGCTTTGAAAGGATACACCTTTCAAAGAATGACTTTGAAAGGATACACCGCACACTCTTGGTCTTAATTTCTAAATTTTGGGTAATTTTTCTTCACATCTGTCAGAGTTGCAGTAAATAGTTTCTGGGAACCAATCTGCCCAGAGAAGGCAGCCAGCCCCCTCCTACTCACGGAGATCCCGAGGATCCCAGAAGAAACCCAAGGCCGTCACTGGGCACACAACCCTCTTTCCCAGCCCCTTGCCATAATAGTTTAGCTATGTCTCGTGATTAAGAGCAAACAATTGTAAATACGGTAACGAACATGGGGATGCAGATATCTCTACCAGATACTGATGTCATTACCTTCAGATATACATCCAGAATGATGAACTGCTGACTCATATGGTAGTACCGTTTGTAATTTTTGGAGGAACCTTCACAGTACTTTCCACAGTGGCTGCATCAGTTTGCCTTCCCAACAAGAATGTATGAGCATTCTCTTTTTTCCACGTCCTCGCCGACACTTTTCTCTCTTAGCTTCCTGAGGACCATTCTAACAGGGGTGAGGTGATATCTCCTTGGGGTTTAGATTTGTATTTCACTGACAATGCGTGATGCTGAGCAGCTTTTCATGTACCTGTTGGCTCCTTGTATGTCTTCTTTGGGAAACTGTCTGTTCTGTTCCTCTAAAGCTGTCCCTTGCCCTGTGACAATAGCATCTGCATTAAGACAGGGGAATGCCACCATCTTAGAATGGTATTAGCCAACACTCTGGGCCAAACACCATTCTGGACACTTGCCATGGACTCACAGCCATCCTCTGCAGTAGACAGCTGAAGGAAGAAATGGAAAAAGGCAAAGAAGCTTGGTCACCCAGCTAGCAGTGAGTGAAATCGGGCTCCAAACCCAGGTGGCCTGGGTCCAGTGAACAAGCTGTCAATCACCTGCTCTCTCCTGCCTCTGCATTGACAGGGAAGCTCCTGCCTGAAGGCGAGGGCTGAAGTGAAAGCCTCTGAAGGTCCGCAGGGCATCCAAGAAGGCATTCCATTTGGATTCTCCAAAAGAGTCTCAGACGGAAATCTAGGACTGCTTCTCTAACCAAAAAATTCATTGTTAACTAACACCATAGTATAGCTCTTTTTAGAAAAAAAGTCACTGACAAGTCTTTTCGTTGTTCTGTGTAAAAAGAATGTGCCATTCATGTAAGTGACCTTAGTAAATACGCAATGCCTTTATTCCCTGACAGTGAGGAGGTACCAAAAAAAAAAAAAAAAAGGAACCTATAAAAAGGTTGAGTAAAGAATTAATTTAGTAAATAATATTTAAATCAAGGAGTTATTTTTGGATTTTTCTCAAAACTTGAATTGGCTGAAAGTGCTTTAATTATTCTATAATTGCATGGATTAATTTATTCCCACCCCCAAGGGAACGTCTATTTATGTTCTTGGGGGGGTGTCGTGCAAGCAAGGCCAAGATCTCTCAAAGAAATAGGAGGTTGGTGTTGCAGGATATTAATAATCACGTGAGTAGCCTGATGTTAAGTATAAAGAGGTTA